AAGAAGAAGAAGAAGAAGAAGAAGAAGAAGAAGAAGAAGAAGAAGAAACATTTCATGAAGAGGGAAGTTCCAGATTATCCAGATAAACTGGGAAATTTGCAAGACCAGCAGAAGTAATTTTTTTCTTCCTTCCCTTGGACATCATATCTTTTTCACTGCTGGCTACAATAACTCTCAACAGAAGAGAATAGTTGTAGTTCAGGGTTGAATTGTAGGGTCCTGGGTGCTCTCTGAGCTTGGTTGTTTTCTTACAGATGTTTCATTACTTAATTAGGTACCATCACCAGTGCACTGATGATGTTACCTAATTGGGTAATGAAACATTTGCAAGACAACAACCACGCTCAGAGAACATAAAAGATACCATGTAGTAGCTCTCACGATCATTTTTACCAAACTGGGAAAAATTAAAACAAGAGTCAATTTCTGGTTTCAGAGGTTGATGGACTGGAAGTTCAAAGCCATAATCCAGGGAACAATGCAACCTGGTCTTCAGGTGAACAATAGGATCCTGTTTACTGCTACTACTAACCACACTTTGGATTGCAAAAGCAATTTGCAATGTGGTCTGCTGTTCATGGAATTATTTCTGGACAGAGTGAAAAATCCTGGATGCACCTCGAGTTCGTGGCCATTACATCGAGGAACATGATCACAACCTTGGTGCATTAAAACATAACAGATAGGCAGACTTTTCCCTCCAGAATTATTTTTTTTTTAAAACCACATTCCATTATCAGACACGACACATTTCAAATGCGCGTAAATTTACAGAAATTGCATTTTATAGAAAATATGATACAATGAAATATAAAATGCACAAGGAGCATTTTCAAAGTCTCTAGACAAAGGAGCTTGCATTCTAGTACGATCTCTTAACAACCTTTTGAAATATTTATTTGCACTCATTCCTTCCCCCCTCAGTGCCAAACGAGAATCATTTTTTTTTATATTGACAAAAAAGAGTGTGTTGGGGGAACATGGTCAGCCCCATTCCCCCATGGACCATCAAAACAATTTCTCCAAAATTGTGCCCCCTCTTGGATTTGAAGGAAATAATAGCTAATTCAACCTTCGTGGCTTCCTCTTCAGTCTGCTGCAGGCCTTTTTGTCCATTATCCATCAGGTAATCCAAGATTTGATAGCACAATTAAGTGGCTCAATCTCCATTAAATGTGGTTTTTACATTACACATCCATGCAATCTAAATAATTGTACAAACATTAGACATAAACCACGTTAAGTCCAAATCATTAAAGGGGAGGAAAAAACACATTTTTGAGAGAGAGAGGAAAAACTGCAGAATTGTAATTTTTTTTCTTTTTTCTTTGTAAATACAGACCCTACATACAAACTAGGTAGCATGCTACCCTTGATAATAGTGAGGTTCTATCAGAATGCAGCAAATAAGTCTGGCTTCATTGTCAACATTTAAGCACATTAATCACAAGGTCCCCGGTGATATTACCTGCCTTTTCTTATCCCATAATAGCCTTTCGATAGAAATACCACTCATCAGGAAGTGCCATCATTAATTGGTAGGTTTGGCTCATAATATTCAAGATATACCCATGGGATAGTTAAATGAATTTCTAGCCATTTTGTAGAAAAAAAGTAACCAGTTTTTTTTTAAATAAAGAGAAAACTTGTACGCGTTCTAAAAATAGAGTGAACTATTATAACTAATAGTGATTTTTCAAGGTTTCCACACTATTTGGGTTCTTCGTGAAATGCCATTTAATGCGATCGTTTTTGGGCAAGGGGATTTATGGCAAGTGTGTTTCTGGCTCTCATATTTTTGTCCAGAAAATAAAAACCCTCTTCCAAAAATGGAGCATTTCTTTCTACAGAGGAAAATGAGCATGGGGGGAATTATCCAAGCTGATGATTCTTAAAATATGAACTCGGTACTTCTAATAAGGTTGATTCTTTGCTGGAGGAAAAGAACTTTTTTTTCCATTTGCATCCAGTAAGGTGGTATGAGACTGCTGTGACTGACAGTAGAACTCCAAATGCTTGTACAAAAAGCTTTCCCAACATTTTCCTTAGGAAACTTACACCTGACAAAGCCAAAACTTACACCTACAATTAGCTACATGCAAAACAGGTGAATGATCACTGAACTAGGCCTCAAAATCTACCTGAGGTTGCATATCAAACATTTCTGAGGATCAAAGAGGCCATCTTTTTTTCTGAATTATAGTCACTTATCTCATACTTTTATTTATTTTCTAGTTCCTTTCCTGGCTCTGGGGAAGGCAATCTATGAAGAGATGCAACATTATTATTTGTCTTAGGCCTACTCAGATGATTAGTTTTTGATGCAATAGTTTCTAGCAAGTGATTTCTCCTGTTTTTCTTTTATATCAGAAATCATCTAATCAGATCTGATATTTGCCATAGTCTGGAAATGTTACTTTAGCTGTGTTGCATTCAGGAACAACGTTCATTGCATGAGAAAAGTCTATTGGATGTAATTTTACTACATATGCAAAAAATAATTAATATTGAACAGGGATCGAACTGACTTTCCAAGTAAGTTAATCGATTGTTTGAATTGGTCATGATTTGATAAGTAGTGGTGGGCAATTCAAAAAGTGAAGATTCCTGAAGCGTATCATGATATTCACAACTTAAGTCAAACAAATATAAACATCAGCATTTCTAAAGTGAATCCTGACTTATACCTCACTTTGGGAAGTAGAAAATTTGAAACTCATGTATCAAATAATAATAATTTGTTGTTGTTTTACAATGAAGTAACCTATTAAGAAATGGTCAGATGAATCTAGCTATTCAATTAGTTTTTATATGTTATTGATTTGCATGTGCTTTTCAGTTGAAATCATTTGTTTTTCCTCCCTAGCATCAGAGGGTCATAGAAAAATTTACTCTGATAAATGTTTTCTGCGGTGTAATAGCAAGGAAATTCACATATTGACTCAGGCTAGAGGCCTATCTAGTCTGATTTATTGTAAAAAAACAAAACCAAAAGAAGAAGAAAAAAATCCTTCAAGAATAAATGTTATAACATCAGTAAGAGAATGTTCTTTGTTAAGGTTCCCCCACCCCTACTGATGCAATGGCATTCAAGGTATTTTAAGGACTATTGGTACCACAAGCTAGTCCCTAGCATTGTTTTATTTATTTTTCCCCAATTCATTTTATAATTCTTCAAAATAAGGCAGTCTCAATTTTTTGGCTGAATTCTCTGGCCTTCAACCATCCATTAATATAATAAGAGAGTTAGATTTTTTTTTTTTTGTGCTTAGCCTTGTTCATTTTCTGTGATACAATAAGGAAGGTGATTTTTTTTTTGTGGCCAAAAAAAAGAAAACAAGTCTACAAAACCGATGCTCTGCGTTAACACAGTCTAGGAGGAAAAACACCACACTATAACATTCAGAGAGCCGAATGCGGCCAAAATAAATTGTGTTGCCTTTCTCTGCATTTTAATCTCTAGTGACCAAGCTGGTTAACCTGAAATCACTTCTCCAGGTGCTTACAGTTCTGTACATCAAATAATCCCACCAGATTCCCACATCCTATTCATTGCAACAAACATCGATTAGAAATACACAACTCCACCATGGACTCAGCAGAAGGAACAAGTCTTTTTTTTTGTTTTTTTGTTTTGTTTTTCTCAAAGAAAGAATTTGGAAAGGAAATGGAAAAGAAAATGGACAAAAGTTACACATAAGCGACCTTTGGTCTTCGGATCATTTACTGTAGGGTTTAGGTAAGAGCAACACCTTGGATTCTTCCAAGGCTTTCCAATGCTATAATTCTATGCAGCTACAGCACATATGTGGCCAAGTCACAAGAGAAAACCCAATTCAATATTTTGCATCAGATAAACAATGAATGATATATACAACAGATTGACTGAGTTCGCCATTTTTTTTTAGGCCAAGAAGATCTCCGTTTTAAATTTGGTTTCCTCTCTTGCACACTAACATCATGTTTCTTTTGTTGTCCCCCCACCCACAAACCCCAAAAGATAAACCATACCGTTGTTCCATGTGTTTTGTTTTTGTTAATTCCTTAATTCCTTCCCAGCTAGAACTGGCTTAAGGGTTTACAGAGTGTGGTGTCCAAGACACGGTGGAAACATAAATTGTTTCTTTCTTTCTGAACACTCCTGAGATTGAGGGAATCTGATACATGTACCAAAAGGCACTTTCAAATATATATACCTATATATATATATATTTTAAAAACAGTGCTTCTGTTCTAAGAAATTCAAGTTAAGACAGAGTGCCTTTCACTCCCTTTAGTCATAAAGTAGTTAAAACAAGCAAGTTCCCTGCTGACACATGAGGGTGGGGGAAAAATTAAAATAATAATAATAAAAAGGCAGCAGAGACACGTGTTCATGCTAGACAGCTCAACGTTCTTAAAAAAAGAGAAGAAGAAAAAGAAGAGAGAAAGGGGGAAAGAAAGAAAGAAACAACAGCAACAGAAATGCTCTAAGTCACCACTAAAAAGAATACAGTCGGCCGAAGGTATTAATTAAAAAAACGCTGCCTCTTTGAACAGGTCTTGATTCCTCTTCTGCTTTCTCTCTCTCTCTTTTTTTTTTGTTTTTTTGTTTAAGTTGTTTTTTGTTTTACTCCTTTCTTCTTCTTCTTTCATCCACCTTGGGTTGCTTTCTCTCTCTCTCTCTCTCCATCTTCTTCTTTCTAAATGCTATAGCTTTCCTCTTTTTGCAAAACAAGAAAAGTGAGGTCACTTTAATCATCCTCGCCACCCCCGTACATGTCCGCCAGTTTCTTGAACCTCGGTCCCCAGTCATTAAGGTAGTCGTAATCTTGGTCTCCAGAGCTTGAAGAGTTAAGTGAGCTTACCGACCCGGCTGTTGAACCGCTTCCTTCATAGTCAAAGACGAGAAGGGAGTCATAGGGAGGGGCCGTTGGGTCATTATCGGCTGCTCTCAGGCCCTGGAATGTTTAAGAAGATGTTGCTGTAAAAAAAGTTATCCAGAAAACCCCAAATCCAATTAAAAACCCCGAGACAGGCATTTTCTCAATGTTTCCTTTTATTAGAGTAGGTATACTGGCACATCTGGGAAATCCTGAATCTGAAAGTTCCAGGTTTCCCTCTGATAAGTAAAACATTACAAATCCATCCCCTGCACCCATCATTCCATCACATGCCCCAATCACCATCTGTCCCAACTTGAGATGTCTCCTCTACTCCTCAGCCAGGTGCAGAATTAACATGACCTTGACTTAGAAGAAGAATGCTATTATGTCTAACCACATACGCTCCATAAAATCCCCCTCCCATCTTCCCAGGTTCAAGAATGTGGCAGCGTGGAAGCTTCTGGTGCTAATATGGCTTCCAAAGCTGACATCGAGTCTCGCTGGCTCAAGGTTGACTCAGCCTTCCATCCTCCCAAGGTAGGTAAAACGAGGACCCAGATTGTTGGGGGGGGCAATAGACTGACTCTGTAAACTGCTTAGAGAGGACTGTAAAGCACTGTGAAGAGGTATATGTCTAAGTGCTATTGTTATTTTGGATTGGGGCTAATCCATGGAAGAACATCCTAACCTTGGTTGGATTGAGTGGTGCTACACAAATCTCGACTCTATGAATGCAGAGAGGTTCTTCAAAACTTGAAAATAGGGCTACCAACCTTCTCTTTTCTAGAGAAAAGAAGGACTAGGGGTGACATGATAGCAGTGTTCCAATATATGAGGGGCTGCCACAAAGGAGAGAGAGTCAACCTATTCTCCAAAGTACCAGAAGGCAAGGCAAGAAACAATGGATGGAAACAAACCAAGGAGAGAAGCAACCTAGAACTAGGGAGAAATTTCCTGACAGTGAGAACAATTAATCAGTGGAATGATTTGCCCTCAGAAGTTGTGGATGCTCCATCACTGGAAGCTTTTAAAAGAAGACTGGATAGTCATCTGAAATAATATCGGGTCTCTCACTTGAGCAGAGGGTTGGAACAGAAAACTCTCAAGGTCCCTTCCAACTCTATTATTCTGCAGTCTGCATTCTCCAGATTGGAGACCACAATGTTAGCCTTCCTCAGGGACTACAGAGCTGCAGAAGCTGCTAGCACAGGGATGTCTCCATGAAGGGCAGCAGTGAAGATCTTCAGACCATTTTTCAGTGACTTTAAGCCTTTTTGAAGAATGTGTTTTTAGTTCACAAAATCCCTTGTGTTCCTATTTCCGTTCTTAATTAACCAACTTTTTGACTAGCCTGAACAATTGCACAGCCCCCAATTTTTATTGTCAAATCCCTTGGAGTCTTGAGAGTTGGATGATATATGCACTCATGCAGATACATAAATCTGGATATCTCATTTATTTTCCTGCAGAATTTTGGGGAAAGATTGTATGGGGTGGTCTGTCATTGGGGCCATAAGTTGCTCACTCTCTGGTTTATCTAGCAGCCATACATGGGTTTTGTAGTAGTGCTACTAGGCCTGCTGAGAGAGTTTTTACTTCTCGACACATTACAAGGAGTCCTTGACATACTACCACAATTGAGCCCAATTTTTTTTTGTTCTTAGGCAAGACAATCATTAAGCAAGTTTTGTCCCATTTTTACAACTAGCCTTGCCACAGTTGTTAAGTGAATTATTACAATTGTTAAGTTTGTAACAGTTGTTATGTGAATCTGGGAGGCTGTTTAAATATAATGAACACATTCCCCAAGATGGAGGATGACATGCCTTAGAGCACTGCACTAATATGCTACCAGTCCTGTATCCGATGGCTACCTTCACCACTGGCTCATTGCTTTACAGAAGCAGCCGATCTGTCTCTTGGGTGGCTGCTATGTATTTATTGCTTTTATAGTTTCAATTTGCTGCTGTTAAATGTCGGTTCCATCGGTTCTTTATGCTTGATTTGCCTTGGGCAATCTGTTGGAAGGGCAGGCTATAATGTTTTGTGAACACAACAGCAAATAAAGAATGCGAAGGATGGCGTTTGGGCGGCGGAAGCTAAGCAGATGAAATTGCTAATGCTGTCGATGGCTTGAATTCAAAGCATCTTCAGGGATGCCCAGACATTGAATATGAGCAACAAGGATGGAATAGGACTACTGGTAAATTATCTTACTAATATTGCTTTATACGAACTCCCTGGCAAGTTCTTCAGCGCACTCCAGCCCAAGTTTAGCCCTGGGATTTTCTATCCAAATCCTAAGCAGATCTTCTTAGCTTGTTTGAAAACAGCCAAGATTCGTTAGAGGCCATCACCATCTGGTTTGACCACGCTGCCAACTACACACTAGATTATAATAAATGTATGCTTTAAGTTGTGTCTGAAATGAAACAATGCTTATATACTTTGGTTTCTCTCAAAACCACCCTTCCGCAGTTCCCTTCTTGGAACATGTTCCAAGACATCCCTCCATCCATCCATTGATCCATCCACCTACCCACTGATCCATCCATCCTTGTCTATATTCTGGGCATGCTAATTGCTCTCCCTAGCTCTTGGTGACCAATTAACCCTACAGTAACAGTCTACAGAAATCTGCAGTAACGTACCTCGTTAATAAAATCCCCGATGTCTCCAGGGTGAGGGATGACAGGCCGTACCGGATATTGCGGCTCAGCACCGACAGGTCTCTCATCTACTCTTCTGACTCCGTTCACCTTGTTTAAAACATGATCCATATTCTCTGGCTGCTGAAGTTGGCTTAAATCATAATCCTATCATGCATACAGAAGGAAAAGAGTGAAGCTGTGGCAGATTTTCACTGAAGATTATCCAGTATCTTTGTGCCATGGGGGGAGCTGAATAATACGATTAAGTTTAAGGGAAATCAAAACAGAGCCTTTAACTTTATGGCATTTATATTGCTACTTAATTAAACATATATGAAATGCTATTGATCTTTGGCTGGACGGCGCTGAAGAGATTTTACAAGGCACCAAGATGCACTCACATCACTCTTGACTAATTGCTTATTCGGTTCACATTCTGGAGACATCTCCACGTGGGTTTGGAGCATAAGTGATGCTCTATTCAATGACCATCTGATGGCCTCTGCCACTGAATGATCTTTCCACAGTCTAATTTGTAATTGATTTGGAAGAGAGAGACACCGATTTAAACAAATCAAATCCAAAGTTCAAATGAATTATGGATTGGCATGTCAGGTGGTGGCAGAACACAACAGAAACAAAGAAACCAAGCTGTGATCAATGACATTATAGTTTCCCAAAATCCATATTACTCCCGGGGATCTTTTTCAACAAAGAGAACTTTGTGTGCTTTATAAACTTTCTAGGTTATATTGAATTTTAATATTAGTGTTTCTCCTCAGTGTCCCTCGAGAAGTTGTGAATTCTCCAACACTGGAAGTTTTAAAAAAGACATTGGACAATTGTTTGTCTGAAATGGTATCGGGTTTCTTGCCTAAGCAGGGGGTTGGACTAGAAGATCTCCAAGGTCCCTTCCAACTATTCTATTCTATTCTATTCTATTCTATTCTATTCTATTCTATTCTATTCTATTCTATTCTATTCTATTCTATTCTATT